GGTAAGCAGACAGATGGTCCCAGATCTCTGTCATCTTGTACAACATCTTTAGCATGAGGCCCATGTGCACATCCTGAGTCTCTTTCCCAACCCCTGTCCTCTCCCCTAACTTACCGTGACTTTAGACAGGACAGATACAGGCAGATAAAAGAGAATAATTGTGAGCAATGCCATTTATTTTATCCTTCATTTTGCCCTGTTTGAATAAGCAATGGCTTGTGCTTATTTTACATGTTCACTTAGTTTGTTAGGAAGCTTAAAATATAATTGCTGTCTCATAAGACAGCAGAGACGGGGGCTGACTAAGAGAATGTAGGAACTGGAGATAGTACAGTAGGTAAGAGGACATAACTTGGAGGGGATGAATTTAGTACAGAAAAGATTGCCTGCCAACAAAATTTCAGAGGATTAAGCCATTATCTCGGTCTGAGATAATCAGGTAAAACTGGATGGAAAAATCTAAATGTAGAATCAAAACAGACATCATGGAGCCCAAACATTAGGATAGGCAAAACATGTCATTTTACTCTCTTTAGGATTTTAAACAGGCATGAGTAAATGAAAACATTATCAAGTTAGGCAGAAGAAAGCAGAAATAAACATTTCAGGATGTGGTACAATTAGGTTCACAAAAAATCACAGCCAGAGAACTTTTAGTACTTTCATTTCTAGACCAGGGACTGCTGACATGTGTCTTGATTTTAATCCCCATATTTATAGTAGGGTGTTGATGACTGGCAGATAGGACCAGCTTCTCAGTGAGAGCAGAGCCCTACTTTATTTACTTAAAATTGCTCTATTCCCTAGTTGGTCCTAACTGTTCTAACACAAAGAATTAAAAGCACTTCTAAACAAGGGAGAGTCATAGCAAAATGGAAACTTCACATGCACATGAATGGATCACACAAAATGTGCTGATTACTTCTCTCTTATGAAAAGAAAAACTCAACTGTTTTTCAGTGATAGAGGTTGAAAAAGAACGTGAGATAGCTCAGATTACTTATATAAATATGTCTTGCTATATTTAGTTCATTTTAAAAATCCTGTCTTTTAAAACTGTTTTGCCAGGGACATAGGCATAACTCTTTAAATCTTGTTTATTTTCTACAGTCAGTAGACCTGGGTTTCCTCATGTAGGTAAGGTGAGAATATTGATTTGATCAACTAATCTCCATAGAGAGTGCCTATCGTCCTACAGTCGAGGTAATGTATCAGTTAGCTCTTGCCACAAAAATGTTTTGTTATCAACCACTCCAAAACTCAGCAAAATACAACATTAGACATTTGTTGTGCTCACAAGTATAATACTAGGGTTTTACAACAGGTTTGGCTTGGCTGAGTGTTTCTGCTTCTCACTTAGATCTGTGATTTGTCTGTGGCAGCTCTCCTCCTTGTGTCTCTCATCCTTCTTGGACCAGCAGGGTAGCCATGGAATGTTCTCGCTTTGTTGGCTGAAGTGCAAGGATATGGATGAAAATAGACCCTTTAGCCAGAGCTTGGAACTGGAATACTCTGACTTCTGCCTACGTATCACTGACAAAAACAAGTCACAGGGCAAGTCCAAAGCCATAGGCAGTGGTATGCAGTCTGCCTAGGACATGGTCATGGCAAAGATATAGATAAAGAGAGGGATATAAAAAAGTCAGAACCAGTAATCAAACTTCAGGTTACTTGTGTGTTTGGATATGAATGCCTGCAGGAAGTTGTCTGACAACACACAAGATTTTACTTCATTCTCTTTACTTTCTTTAACGTGACATTTCCCTTTGATTACTGTTTCCTTCCATCACTAGTCATAAGAGGTAGTAAGAATTTTCTGACTCTGAATTAAGTTAAATTTGTGATTTTAGCAATAATTGGTCAATTAGACCCACAGACTAATGCACAGATACAAATCTGTGGACCAAGTGCCACCATGACTGTCTTCTTCTGGTCTCAGTTACTGCTCAGTGATCGTGACATGCTTCCCCTCGGAGGTCAGCTACAGGTTTCAGCTCTGCACTCCAGACAGTCCTAACCCATCAAGCAGATGTAAGAGTTGAAAACTGTCAGTCGTTCTTACACTAAATGAACCAGATTCTATTCACTCTCAGATCATCAAGACACCTGACTACCATCAGGAAGTGTGTATCCTTATGCAAGATCATACATATTTCATCTGGGATTACATGATGTGAAATATTTTACTTTTCTTAATTCTTGTAAATATGGTAAATAGTGCTCATGGAAAAATATCACAGAATAAGGCATTGAACTATTGTGTGCCCTAGGAACAAGGTATTCATTTTAACTACATTGTATTTAAAATGGTATAATAAATATACTTGTGCCTGGTATGATTATAAAATAATTTTACCAATTCAAGTTGGCATTTAATTTTATGCTTAAAAAATGTCTTAAATGATAACCAATGATTTGGTTAGCCATTTCCCTATAAGGAATTGAATGGTAGTCCCATTTCATTTGTTGGTGAGTATATTACCTGTCACCTGGATACATTTCTTTAGACCCTTTCCAAGTTTCAGAAATATGTAAGTTTGCTTCATGTGAACTGCCATTAGCTGACAGACTTCTAGGGCTGTGAGTGTCAATTCACTGAACAAACATTTTGTATCTTCTATACAAAGATGAATAAGGCAAGTTCCTTTGCCTTGGAGAACTCACAATTTGTATCTACACAAATAATCAGTATCTAATCCTTGCAAATATGTAAATAAAGGCAAACAGATGAGGGATTTGTTGCATTTGAGAAAGTCTTCAAAGAAGGAGGATTTTTAAGTTGTGTCTTAGAGGACCATAAATGTGACAGATCTCATTCACAGCAAAAGGGGAAGGACGGCTCAGGCAGAAGAATTTAAAAACTAACAGGCATAAAGTGATGATGGTATAGAACATGTTTAGGAATTGCAGTGCAAGCAAGGATATGAGTGAGTAAACTATTTTATTCATACAAGACATTATGAGGGTTTTCACTAAAACACTGACATTAGAGATGGAGAGAAGGGCCTTTTGAAGAGATTTTTTTTTTAAAGTTTTTATTTAAATTTCAGTTAGTTAACATACAGTGTAATATTAGTTTCAAGTGTACAATTTAGTGATTCAACACGTGCATACATCACCTGGTGCTCCTCACAAGTGCATTCATTAATCCCCATCACACATCCTCCCACCATCTCCCCCTTGTTAACCACCATTTTGTTCTTTATAGTTAAGAGTCAGCTTCTTGGTTTGCCAAGAGAGTATTTTTAATAAAAATACAAAACTGGAATTTTTTTATGAAATTTTTTTTTTATTCTTATGTTAATCCCCATACATTACATCATTAGTTCTAGATGAAGTGTTCCATGATTCTAAAGACAGTTTGCTAAGACTTGGTGATCGAATATAGTGGCACAGGGAGGGGAAGATGATGAAAGAGTCAGAGACAGCTTGCTTTTTTTTTTTTTTTTAAAGATTTTATTTATTCATTTGAGACACAGAGATACAGAGAGAGAGAGAGAGAGCATGAGCAGGGGGAGAGGTAGAGGGAGAGGGAGAAGCAGGCTCCCCGCTGAGCGAGGAGCTTGATGTGGGGCTCGATCCCAGGACCCTGGAATCATGACCTGAGCCGAAGGCAGACGCTTAACCATCTGAGCCACCCAGGTGCCCCGGCTTGCTGTTTTTTTATCTCAGGTTACTGTCTAGAGTATAATGATAGTCACTGAAATGGGAAATGCAGGAGAAAGTCAAGAATGTTTAGAGGTGGTTGAAAGGGTCCAGAATCAAGGAAGTCATCAAGATGTAAACAAATTAAACAAGAGATTTTATTAGTCCTACAACTTCCTGTGCGAGAACCTATTCCCAGGCATTTTGACCTGAGGCTTCAGGCAGATATTTGAAAATATTTCTAGGAAAAAGAAAAGGGAGAAGAAGAATTAGTCTGAAGAAGAGTGCCATGTTCCATCTGATAGATTTTTAGAGAGAAAGCTGTTTTTCAGTCAGCCATGGTGATGTTTATATGTCAAAGAAGTGTACCTTTTTAATGCCAGAACAAATGGTATCTTACTCTAGGATATGAAGAATGAAACAAATTACCCAAATATTTTCTCTTTCTTTCTGGGCCCCCCCCTCCTCCGTTACTCCCTCTCTTTCCTTTTTTCTCCACTGAGGTGTAATGGTTTGATGAGTTTGGTGAGGAAAAGGTCAGAACTTGCTGCTATATGTTGGGTGAAGCACCTGAACCTTGCAGAGGATATTTTGAAGTTCACGTATTCTCCAGTATATCAAGAAATCTCTTATTTAGCATGGCCAGTAAATAGTATTTTCCAGAAGTGAGTAAAATGAAAAAGTAGCCGAATTCATGTGATTTTTGATTCTCTGTTGAACATGTTAGCCCTCTACTAAGTGATGTGCAGTCTCTAAATTTTTGAAGCACTTAGGTAATTAGCAATCAGCTAACTGTAAAATGATTTAACTCTCAAGGATGGAGATGGAAGCAAATAGAAATATAGACGTGGCCTTTTCATTGTATACCTTTTAACCTAGAAGATTTCTTCTGGCTTTATCTCCAACTCCTAAGGTTGAAAATAGAACTACTTTTCTGCTTCCTGTTGCTTTGTGGTTTCTCTGGATTCCTTATTTGTAACTTGGTAGCTTTTAGATGTAATTTACCTATCTCTTGCAACAGTTGAATCAAGTATGTTTTTTTAGAATGAAAACTGAAAGCCTAATATTTGATAAAGTATTTGCTGGTACTATACAACAACATAATGATTATTTGATATTTCTTTCCTATTTGAGTATAGGAACCATTTTCTGGTTTAGCATTATTTTTACAGATACTATTATTTGTAAATTATTAAAACTATTTCAGCTGAAATGTTTGTGTGCTTCTAGCTTTGTGTACTGAACAACATTTCACAAGGCAGATTTGGTAAAGCTGTTTGGTTGAAACACATTGTTGTTACTTTAGGTGCCGACTATTCTGATGCCGAGTTTCCAATTGCCTTGATTAAATTAGAAACATTCTATGGCTTGGATGACTTACATTTCAAATTGGTTTGAGCAAGATGATTGGTATGAAGGACTACAAAGAGTAAGATATATTTATGTTGTGATTATGATGTTCTGTGGATTTCTTTTTTCTGCTTTACTACTCATGCAGCTGTATTTCTTTGTCATTTATGTTGCAGACATTTTTGCATTGCAGTATTTTGAGGGTAAATAAGATACTTGATAGATTCCAAAGCAGAGGTATAAGAAGATAATATATAAATATAGTCATAATAATACATTGAAGAAAAGGTATTTTTTTTTCTGTCTTTGTTTCATGAATTCTTAATGTTTTCAGATTGTCTTCAGGCTTTAAATGTAAAATAGAATTCTTGTTAATGAGATTAATGTATAAAAACAACAATATTTTAATAGTCATTTTACATAAAGAAAAACATTTAATGAAGTAGAAGATGTGCATGATACTATGTATTATATTAATATTGTAAAAGAAAATGCAAAAATTTTCTGAAGAAGAGTGCCATGTTCTATCTGATGAATTTTTAAGCAATTAATTATGTTTCAAAAGATTTGCATTGTTACCATGGCAACTTTTGTATAGTATTTTGAAAATAGCTATTCTGATCTATTATTGCAATAGTAGAAAACTGCTATTTAAAAATGCATCTAATCAAAATGAATTTAGTGTAAAATAATACGATGTCTTTTTTATTATTTTCACGTTTTTAATGGAAGATTTCTCAATCATTTAAATGAAGGCACTTTGTGGATTTTTCTTTTCTTACATGGCCTGGATTTTTCTTTTTATTAATGAGTGGAACAAAAGAGCCAGAGTATCTTCCTGCAGTTTCACCAGCTTTCTTCCCTGTCATTGTTGGAAGGCAAAGGATACCAAAGATAGGAAGCATTGCATTTCTCTCCCGCCTTACTTCCTCAGGGTCCCTCCTCCACCCGTCCATGAAAGACATTTTCTCAGTATTTTACTTCCTTTTAGTTATCTTTTGAATTGTAATTCCTCAGCAGTTTAAAGCCTCCTGCCTTTTGGGCTTTTCCTAAGATTTTTTTTTCAGCTCTAAAACAAGCTGGTAAACATCTCTGCAGCCAGTTAATAGCAAACTCTGGAGAGTAATCCTCCTGTTGTGGATCCTAAAGCGTTCTTCAGAAAACAGGTTGAGAATCAGTGGGTAGCCTGTCATTCTGAATTTCAGTCTTATCCCTAAATGATGGAAATATTTCAGCTTATGAGTTTAATAAGTCCCACTGGACCTACGCACGCTACGTTGACAGCACGCTTTGTTTGTATTGTGTGCATGCATTTTCAGTGTAATAATTAGTGCTTTTTTGATGTTGGAACCAAAGGGTGTTTTTTTCCAAGTGTAGTCTATATGTTTCTCAATGGGAGAGCATAGGGATGGTAGTCTAACTTGTTAAAATGCTTTTTACTAAAATTGGGTGTTCCTTTAGTGACTTCAGCGTAGTTCATAGAGATGATGAGGATTCCAAATCTTCTTCTCCATTGTAACCCCAGCCTGCCCTTTAATACTACCATTGGCCTTTATAAATGAATTCCTGGCTCTGAGACCTATTACAAAAGTAGCTGCTATTATATGTAGATACCGTTTAACCCTGAAATTACCATATTGTCCTCTTCCTGAGTTTGAGCTTCTTCTGGCTCAAGTTTTGGTCAGTTCTTATGTAGATTTAGATGAGAATGAAAGATACTATTCTAAGTAATGAAAATTGGCACATGAATATGGACTTTAATTTCTTCTAAAAGTCCAGCTTATTATTTTTCAGATGATGTGTATGGGCATATATATCCTATATAATCAGCATCCAGCATAACAAATTTTTCAATAGAATTTTTTTCTCCTAATTTTTATTTAAAAGCAAAATTATAACATTGAAGTGTGGGGTTTAGAATGTACATAGATACAGCATATTTGATAATAGTACAAAGGACTGTATGGGGTGAATGAAAGTATGGTTGTGGGGTTATTACATTTTATGTGAAGTAGAACAGTAACACGGAGTAGCACAGATGTTGGCAAGGATGCGGAAGAAAGGGGAACCCTCTTACACTGCTGGTGGGAATAGAGCATTTTTTTAAAATGTTCACAGGAAAAGATAAGTTGGATTTTTTTTTTTTAAAGATTTTATTTATTTATTTGACAGAGAGAAACACAGCAAGAGATGGAACACAAGCAGGGGGAGTGGGAGAGGGAGAAGCAGGCTTCCCGCTGAGCAGGGAGCCCAATGCGGGACTCGATCCCAGGACCCTGGGATCATGACCTGAGCCGAAGGCAGACGCTTAACGACTGAGCCACCCAGGCGCCCCATAAGTTGGATTTTTTAAGTTCAAATTATAATTTAGAAATGTACTGTTTGAAAAATTACGTACAAGTGTGAGTTTGATCTTTAGTACAAAATTTTGATAGAATTAATTTTGATATAATTAATATTTATGGCATATGTATATATTTCTGCAGATACACAGACACATATATATGAACTTGATTTTAGCTTAGTTTTACAATTTTATTTTTGGCAGTGTTGTAACTCTAGCTATATTTTAAAGTTCATTGTGATTATTTCATATCAACATACTCTTGCATATTCAAAAGTGAACTTTAATATTATAAAAGTCTAATGTAAATATACTCATCACTTTTTTTTATTTCATATACTTAATGTGTAGAGCATCTTTACTGTAATTGTACTGTAGGTGTTGTATTTCATATGAGATTGAAACAAAAAATTGAATTTAGGTTAAGAAAACACTACCTTTGCACGTAGGCTGTTGGCAGCCTACTGACATTGTCACTTACATGTGGGGTGACACCGTGCTCAGACTTTCTTCCCAAAGCCTTTATAACTCTCCATTATTCAGTGTACCACAGGGGTTAGTACTTCATCTTTAAAGTGTGCATATTGTTTCTGGGCCAGAAAGATTATATTTTCCGAAGCAACAAGTCTTTAGAATGGACACGGAAATTCTTAAGTCATTCACCTAAAAATGAAACCTATTCTAGAGTAAGGATACCAAAAAGTACATAATATTTATCTGAAACCAATAATTAACTGTAACATTCAGTTGGCATATATTTATTTACCTAAATATGTGACATATCTTTTTAGGATTTATGTTGGAAAAAAAGGCATATATTTGGGAATGGACCTGCAGTGGAACATTTTCCATGTTCAGTAATGCAGAATCATTAGTGTGTAACCATTCATGCTGAGTACAAAGATAACAAAAGCTTCTGGATGTTTCTTTTTATCTCCTTAATAAAAGCTACATCATATTACATATATTTTTAATAATACTTTTGAAAAATAATGTGGAAGTTTCAAATGCTGCCCTTTTATTTTTTATTTATTTTTATTTTTTTTAAGATTTATTTTTGCGAGAGAGAGAGAGCATGAGCAGGGGGCAGGGGCAGAGGGAGAAGTAGACCTCCCTGCTGAGCAGGGAGCCCGATTCGGGACTCGATCCCAGGACTCTGGGATCATGACCTGAGCCAAAGGCAGACGCTTAACTGACTGAGCCCAGGCTCCCTAATACTGCCTGCTTAAATGCATAAATAAGATTTATAAATGAAATAGTATTCATGTATTTAATGATGTATAATTTTTTCAAATTTCATTTAAAATCATGGATTTTTACAATAAGTTGCCATTTTGTTTTATCCTGCTTATTATTTTAATGGCTGGTTTGGACAAGTTATTCAACTCTGAATTTAAAAAGGAATTAAGTTGTTAGATTTTAAGACTTGTGAAAGCTGCTTAGAAACAAGCTCATACCAAATTGTATGACAATATGGAAATTTTTGTATTCTCTAAATTTGGAAATTAAAAAGTAAATTAATAAAAGTAGTAAATCAAAATAAACTGATAATTAAAGTAAAAATACATTGACAAAATGAATTTTGAAGTAACTTATTTATTTTCAATAAATAGCCAACGGACTTTGAGTTTCTAGTCTGGCAGGTAAGGAGCTTAGAAGTCTTCACTTGGGGGGGCGCCTGGGTGGCTGTCTTAAGCATCTGCCCTCAGCTCAGGTCATGATCCCAGGGTCCTGGATTGAGCCCCACGATGGTCTCCCTGCTCAATGGGGAGCCTGCTTCTCCCTTTCCTTCTCCCCTTGCTTGTGTTCCCTCTCTCACTGTCTCTCTCTGTCAAATAAAGAAATAAAATCTTAAAAAAAAAAGAAGTCTTCACTTCGGCCTAAAATGATAAAAAGCTGAACAAACTGAAAAATCAACCATTCTTCTTAGATCTCTAAGAGAAGTGAGGTCACGAGGCAAATTGCTCCTTCCACAGTTGGAGAGACAGACAGGCAGTTATAGAAATTCACAGCCTCCTGGAGCAGAGACCTACCAGCTAAAACCTCTGTGGGAACCAGAGCCAGAATAGGAAAACCTGAACTATAATTGGTGAATTGCTGGAGGCTCATGTCCCAGGTCTGAGAGTTAAAAACTCCAGGAAGACCCCCAGGCTTGTGTGCTTAACCTCCAGGATCTCTACCAGGTCTTCCCAGGGATCTTCCCTGAAGATCAGGGAAGATCCCTTCATGCTTCTGGCAGGGGGAGAAGAAAAGGAACCATTTTGAAATATGACATTTTTTTCTTAGCAAGGTTGTTCTTGGGAGAAATTTTTTTTTTTTTTAAAGATTTTATTTATTTATTTGAGAGACAGAGAATGAGAGACAGAGAGCAGGAGAGGGAGGAGGGTCAGAGGGAGAAGCAGACTCCCCGCTGAGCAGGGAGCCCAATGTGGGACTCGATCCCGGGACTCCAGGATCATGACCTGAGCCGAAGGCAGTCGCTTAACCAACCGAGCCACCCAGGCGCCCTTGGGAGAAATTTTTTTACCAGAGCCTAACGTGCTGGTTATTTCAGAGCCTAACCTATGTGGGGAAGGAAAATAACCAACTCCAGCTCACTGTACCCATCATGTGCCACCTAAGGGATAAACCCCCACCCTCCCCAAGAATCACTGGTGAAATTCACATTCCACAGGCGTAGTAGGCTCACCAAAAGACAGAGACCTAATCAGTGGACTTACAGAACACTTCCTCTC